TTTTTTTCTTTTTAGTCTAAAGGGGAATTTTCCCAGAGGGACTATTATTTTATTATCATTTTTAACTTGTTTTTATTGTAAACGAGCGAAAAAAACATCGTTCATACTTTTTAATAGTTTAACAAAGTGCGTAATCCACATTTGGCGTTATTATAGCTCAGAAAAAGATACCAAATTTCAAAACGCTCCAGCAGGTAAATTCCTGTTTATCTCACGCCAATTTTTTGCAGGCGTGATTAGAAATACATCTATTTTAAGAAGATGTTAAAACTTTTATAGGTCATAATACAAATATAATTTCGGAAAATTTGTAAATATTTAAAAATACAGCTTTTAAAAAAAATCATAAAAGAGTTGCGAATTATATTTGAATTAAGCCTAAATTTCGCATTCTGGAAGAAGGAATCAAGTAAGCTTAGTAAAAAATCTAATGTGTACACCACATGACTTCCTTGTATTGGAATATTAAATTGGAATATTAAATTATACGCATTTTTTCTTGCATTTCATTTAAACTTAGTGGATGGAATTAAATCTACTTCGCCGACAGCGCATAAACCACAATAGAATAAATGTATTCTTTAAAATTCACTCTAGTATTTGTTTACCATAGCGATACTCTGGTGCTAGATTCACTTAACAGTATTAATAATTATATAACAGTTAACTTATAATTATATAACGGAAACTAAGTTAACTGTTATATAATCCAATAATTATATAAAAGTTAACTTATATATTTCGTTCATATTATAACTCATAATGCACAAAATTTATATCATTTAAAGAATAGAATTATCTAATCGTTGCCACATGTTCTATTCAAATACTATAATAAAGCTAGAATGATGTATAAAAGAAATTAAGAAAACAAAACAAAAAAGAAACAGTTTTTCACAGACGATTGAGTATTTCTCATTTAATTAATTCAGTTCTCACTTCGTGAGAAGGCAAAAATACATAAAAATTCAAAATATCTATATTAAAAATTACGAAGAAAATCTCAAACACTTATTTCCTCGAAAAAATTCCAGAAAGAATAAGCATAATTGGCAATAATAAATGAATGCGTTATCTTTGTTGTTGCGAAGCTAAGTTTCTCTAGATTGGCAACAAATCCACTAGTCTCCTGTTTCAAATGTAAACATCAATGGCCGCCATTAAAAAAAGGCTTAGCGGCAATTAAACAACTTTAAAATTGCTGATAATTCTAAAAATATTGCACACAGATTTACTAAAGGCATAAAATCCTTAACCGGAAGATAAAAACAACATAATTCAATCATTTTTAATACCAAAAAATGTACAATTTACAAACATATAAGAGTAAAGAAACTGAGATCACTGAGCCGGGTAAAAGAGTGAATATATATACAAATATATTTATATACGTTTGGTGCGGCCGATTGCAACCAAAATACGAGGTGCACATCTACATGTTATAGCAGTCCTATATACAAAATTTCAACGTTCTGAGGCTACTCGTTTTTGAGTTATGCGAGATACGTACGTACGCACGTACGTACATACGTTCGTACAGACGCCACGAAACATTCTCTTCAGAATTAATTTTAAAGCAGTTTTATAATTTTTTTGAAGGAAAAGAGTCTTTTATTCTGTCCTTACGTACAGATATCAAGCAAAAACATAGTTAAATTGCATTCGAAAGCGGTCAAAACGGATATTTCGTTGAAATATGCTGCCTGAAAATTTTCGCGATTACAATACGTCCTTTTTATTTCGTACAAGGAAGTAAAAAGAGATATTCATAAATATATATCAAATTCAATTAACATTGATGGCCTAAAATTTTGAAAGCTAATTTTTTTTTTAAAACCTACTAGTGCGATTTTTACAAAACTTGGCAGTTCGTCATAATTTGAGTCGTAGAATCGAAATATGGAAGACAATTGGCATTTCATTTCAGAAAAAGTGCAATTTTGTATCAAAATACCTATATTGGAAAAATGCTATATATAAATCTAATACATATTTCAAAACCAAATTCCAAATTTCAAAACGCGCCAATATATAAATTCACATATATCTTCGGAAATTTTGAATAAGAAAAGTGTAATTTTTTGCAGGTATGCTTAAAAACACATATACTTTAAGATGATGGTAAAAATTGTATAAGCTATAATTCAAACGTTTTTACGAAAAATTTATAAATATTATTTAAAAATACAAATTTTAAAAATAAATCATAAAAAATGGGCGAATTTTATTTGGAATGAACCTAAATTCCGAAATTTGAAAGGAAGAATCAAATAAGTTTAATAAGAAAGAGATATTTATAAATATATACCAAACTCAATTAACATTGAGGAGCTAGAATTTTGAGAGCTAATTTTCTAAAAACTATTCGTGCGAGTCTTACAAAACATTGTATAATTTAAAACTTGGCGTAATTTGAGTCGTAGAATTGAAATATGGAAAAAAATGACATGTCATTTTAGAAAAAGTCCGGCTTTGTGTTAAAATATCTATGTTAGAACAATGCTATATGTAAATCTAATATATATCCTAAGTCGCGTTTTCGAGATATACAAAACGCAAACTGAATTTTGTCAATCTGCCCAGTAAAATGGGAGATTTAGAACTGTCCCATTTTTTTTTTTTTTTTTTTTTTTTTGCAGTGTAAATGCAAATGCTACTTTACCAGCAGCATCTGAGAGAAGTGCTTGCAAAGAACGTTATTAACATGAAACAATCGTTGTGCATATTTGCAGCAGGTCTCATAAAAACAATCAGAGGTGATGCATGACACAATACGGTGTTCTCTTTCATTCTGATTCTCTCTCAGAATGATCGTCACCATCACAGATGATCGTCACCATCTAAATTCTTACTTAGATAACGAATAAACGAATTAAAAGTAATTAAGCATGTATTATAAGGTATTTCTCCCGCGTACCTTACCTCTACCGCGAAGCGCACCTTCGTGGTGTGGTCAGCACGCTGAGCGCGTATTCCAGAGGTCCGTGGTTCGATTCCCGGCGAAGGCGTTGCTCATTTTTCATATGTCCTGCTTCTAAAATACCTAATGTCTCTACACTGGCGCCCGAACTAAAATGGCGGGGGATGATGATTCTCCCCGCCCAGATTTGGATACTGGGTCCCCTAAAAAACCCCAGTCGTCTTTTAAAAGGGAGAGTTTATTAGGCATTTCTCCCGCCTTATTAGCGTGTCTTCTGCACACTTAACGCGTATTCCAGAGTTCCGTGGTTCGATTCCTGACGAAGGTATTGCTCATTTTTCATCGCTTCTGCTTCCAATTAAACTAATGTCTCTACAGTATGTTCTGAAAAACTAAATAATTTCCAATTTTCTTTTCATTTTGTACCTTTTCATGGTTCATTGATTGATTATTATCTAAATTAATATAGAAAATAAGGAAAAGTAGAGGTATTTTTCCTACAAACTGATTCTAGTTTTATCGAATCGTTTAGTGCATTCGAAGGAGAAACACACAGTTGCTGTATGATTAGTAACTCGAAATTCTTTACCAGCTTGAACTTATTAAATGAAATTTGGTTTTAAAGTTCATGCTTTGTTTAACATGTCTCAAAGTTGAAAACTAATTTGAATGCGTCACTAAATTCAGGTTCCAGGACTTTGCAGTCTGGTCCTGTGTATAGTGACATACACTACTTAAACCATTGTTTTGACTGTGAAATAGGGGGAGCCGAAGCCTAATCCTGTGTATGAATTGCCCAAAATTTCAAAATCACATGCAAAGAAAACGCAGAGTGAAGTTTTTAGTAGTGTCCTTCTCTGTATGAGATTAAATTCTTGTGGCGGATGGCATTTTATACGCACTCAACCTATGAAAGGTTAAACTTATGATATTTAATAAACTTATCTGATAATTATAAACTTATGGGATCTAATAAACTTATCTGATAAAGATAAACTTACGATATCTAATAAACTTATATCCGATATGTTGATCTAATGAAACATCAACTTATTTGTTGATGAAGAACTATTTCATAAATGTTTCATACTTTTCTTTATAGTCTTTTATATTTTCACATCTTAGGTTTAAACTCTTTTATGATTTCTCCTTCAGAATATTGTTACATCCCTCTTCTAGATATCCCACGTTAAACTAATACCGAATACCATGCAATTTCTTTCGCAGTTTTTTAAGAAGTTTCAATTATTAAGCACGAAAAGACTATTTGTCCAAAGTGTCTACATGTTTAATTTGAAAAGATAAGTTTTTTAATACCTATAAAATTAAATAGCATGAAATTTCAGGTTCCAGATTTTTAACAATAATAAGAAGAATGAAATTATAACTTCTCATCCTTTATCAGTGGACTGTCAAGCTGTAGCAATCCGTATCTAATAACTCATGATAATGTTCACTGAAAAGTAATTAATTAATCAAAGCATTTATATCAAGCTAACAGCTAATATTGCAGTTAGTTCACTACTGAAAAATATTAAATAACCGAAACATTCTTGAACGCTCATCAGATGAGAGGTTATCTAATCCCCTCACTTTATTATCTAAATATGATTCTAAAGTTTGAACCGTATTTAACCCACACTTTGGGAGCAATACCAGACATTTTTTTATGAATTAGACACTTGAAATATTAGTGAATATTCTTAGATAGCTCGATAAATGCATTCTAATATGGTGCTTTATTATGTTTTAAAATACATTCTTTACATATTCTGTAAAAGTAAAGGTAAAAGATATGTATAACTTCTTGTTCAGTGATTGATGTCATTTTCTAGTTGCTACTTTAAATCGTACAAAAATGCAATAAATGTGTATTGAATTTAAAGAATCGAGTTCTATTTTTAACAATAACTATTTTCTTTTTGTACATGATAAGACATAAAAGTAATCGATTATTTTATAAAAGTGAATGCCTTGAGTAATATAAAAAGCTGCTTTGTGTTTACCTTAGCTCCTAATATAAGTCTACTCGTCTTGGAGGGGAAAAGTTTAATTTTGTACTGTTTGTTACTCTCCTTAGTTCCTCCCTATTTGGACGAAGAGCTTACCAGTTCCGACACGGATGTTCGAGAAGGCACAGACGTCAGTTTGAGGTGTGTTGCCAAAGGGTCGCCGGAACCGGAAGTCACATGGCGCAGAGAGGACGGCCAGGAAATTTCCATCGGGAAAAGCAAAGGTAGGCAATATATTTAAAAATTCCAGTTTTTTCCTTTCCCCTGCCTGTCGTTATTATTTTTTAAATTAGAAGAAAACATCAAGAAAGTAAAATAATTTTAATATATGTTACTGCAAAAAAAAAAAAAAAAAAAAAAAAAAAAAATCCTTTAAAGTAAATTTAATTCGACGTAAAGGTAAAGAATTATTGACTGAAGATATGAGGTCTTGTAGTTAGCCATATAAATTCGTAATGCATCATAACATCTGACAATTCCTGAAAATAAAATATAATTTATGTGTTTATATGTTTTTATCGTGTGCTGAACTGGGTTTAATCTCAAGCCCTGTACCTTCATTCAGTCTGCAGGTATATATATATATATATATACAGGGTTATCCAAATTAAACTTCCCCAACTCAGAGGCCTGTGCAGAGTGTTGTATGGGTCATAATGTGATGAAATTTTAAAAACAGACACTTCAGATCATGCGCTCGAGATTTATTGCACAAAAAATTAGTACAAGAAGTTGTCGATAGGTGGCGCTGTAATACTAATAATGTGCATATTGCAGCAACGTGATTTGCAGAAATAACGCTTCTGCGCAACGTATCCAAAAGACGAGTCCTACAAAAGTGGAACACAGGCCTTGCAAAGGCGCCACCTATCGACAACTTCTTGTACTAATTTTTTGTGCAATAAATCTCGAGCGCATGATCTGAAGTGTCTGTTTTTAAAATTTCATCACATTATAACCCATACAACACTCTGCACAGGCCTCTGAGTTGGGGAAGTTTAATTTGGATAACCCTGTATATATATATATATAGTAAACCCTCTTTAACCCGAATCTCCAGAAACCGAAAAATCAAAATTTCGTGTTAAAAAATTCATGTTAACTGGAGATTCAATTGTTGTTATTTCTGAAATAATTTTTCCACATATTAACCACTTACAGAATCTATTTATGAAATACCACAATATATTGTCTATGCCATCATAGAAAACATTACAGTAATGTGAATGTAACTATGTTAATTACTGTACTGTAACTTGAAAATATGTACTCATTGATCATCATCATCATGGCTAACAGTATTCATGGCATCGGTAAAACTACCGTTGAACTTGGATGTTGCACCAAAATCTACTACAACATTCCAGGCGTGTAACATTTCCTGTCGGTTGGGGGGAATGATATTGTCCTTCTCACCTTCTTCTGATAATGCGTGTTGCATTTCTACAACTGCTTGTATATAAGTTTCCACTGGAACACATACGACAACGTCGTTACCTGCACTAACAAATACCTCAAAACTCATTGTTGACGGAATGATAGCGACTATCAACTGACTGATATTACACATGCTGGCTATTTAAAGAATACTATGTATTTTCTAAGGTTTTCAGTTAAACTGGACGAAAAGGTTTTGATCGCATACTTGGCACAGAAACAACACGAAAAAATATGAAAATTTTTGATTCTTGAAAAGTTCATGATTAAGGATTCATGATTAAGTTCATGATTAAGTCTAACGACACGATGGACTAAAAAACAGTTCATAATTCGTGCTAACCGCAATTCGCATTAACCGATAAAACTTCATATAAGATCGTAAGTTATCTCATTTGTCTGACAGTAATATAAGCACAAGTCCACGAAATTCATCGTGGCAAGGAGTGCAAGATTGCGCCTGTCGTTGGCCCCATACGGGTGATAGTACGACTCTGCCCAGTTCCGCCCCCAATTTTGATGAAAGGCACCCCGGGAGACGGGTCCGTGGGTCTCCCATCCCTCTTTCCTTACTACCAACCTCTCAAGAGGACTTTCGGTAGCCTCATATTTAGACTGCCCTCATGCCGCACATATACTATGCATATACAAATATCCATGCTCTCTCTGAGATTTGAACCTGGGGCCTTCGGTTCAACTGTCAGCTTCGCTAACCACTATCCTGATTGGGCGTCTTGAAATTGTTTTCATGTTAACTGAGTGCTCGCCTTAAGCGAGTTCGTGTTAAAGGGAATTTACTGTACAACACTCTAATAAAAAACCTATTGTTTCTAGGATCTAAATATATGGAGTTCAAAATGACTGGAGGAGTCCCTGTGATGTGATACTATTGTTGAATGAATATTTCTTATGACTGAACTATTAGAGACAATAAAATCATTTTAAGGAGGACAAAAATCTTAGTGTAATTTAAAAATACCAAAAAAAAAAAAAAAAAAATCATTCGATAAATGTCCAGCTAAATTCTAAATATCCCTTAGTTAATTTTTACTACGTCTCTTGAATATAATACTGATTCTTAATTCTTAGAGCTTAAGAAAAAAACAAGATATTACATAAAAGAATTCAGTAGATTTATCTTTTAGAAATATTCATATTATACATATTCAGTTCACCCTGTTGAGACTAATACTTCTCCCAAAATATGAATTATTTATGAAATATTACATTCTTACGCTTGCATTCATGTTGTATCTTGTGTGTGCATTTATTTTGATAGTATATTTTACATTAAGAGTCTTCATTACATAACACTGATTTTAGATTTGGTTGAATTTCCTCTTAGAAATAAATAATTAATCAAACTTTCCTTTTTGGTTTTTCCCCGAATATGTAAATTGCTTTTTGTGATGAATAATACTGGCATTATATAAATAACATTTCAAAAGAAATGCGTAACAAATGAATCGTATAAAATATTTTCAGCATGTACATATTTTGAAAATTTTAAATGCAGACAGAGAATTCCAACCCTTAATTCTGAATGCAGTTTTGAAAACATATTTAAAATCCTACTTTTCAGACGACATGAAACATTTTCTAGGAGAAAATATAGTATGGACGTTCTTTAAGTGTAATAGTCACATTTTAAGTTCACTTGCAAAATAATTAAAATACTTTTTCCCTTGTTCAGTTCAGTGTTTCTATCCAATAAGTTCTATTCAGCATCTTTCTATCTTTTGCCATTTGTTAATTTATGTATATATGTATATGTACAATACATAAAATAAATATGTGGTTGAGTCATTAGGTTTCCTTTTTTCTTGAAGAAGAAGGAATACATGTCGGACGCCACTGTAGATTCATTAGGTTATTTCCAAGCAGGCACATGATAAATATGTAGTGCCGTCGTCTGAACCTTTCGAACACGCGTCGAGTATGTTTCCAATAACATCACGAAGGCATGCTGGAAGGAGGAAGAAAATACCTTATAAAGTAAAATATAAATATGAAACTAAAATATTAAACTTTACTTGAATCAAATGACAACAGATTTTCACAATCATAAATTTTATTTAAACGCATTCAGCTCCAAAGAATACGGTTTGCTAGTCACGCTGCCGCATGTTACGTCACTCATTCCTTGTAATCTCTTTGCACTGCATCACTTTTAGCCCAGTCGCTCCTCAGGATTAACACAATGACTTTCTGGATCTAAACAGGACCAAAGTTAGCACGCATTGCTTTCTCTCGCTTCCTGTTGATTGCATAAAAGAAATCTCTAGCTTTGCCTTCTTCTTCCTTGTCTAAAATGTATATTACGTATATCGAAATTGTGGGTCGTGGTTAGCACCTCTAGTTTTGAATTATTTTTAACCAGAAGTGTATTTCTGAATAATTGTTCCTGTGAAAAATAAAAATGAGGTTTTAACTATCAAAGGATTTGTGAATTGCGCACCATTCGTCATCTAAGCCATACATACATACATCTATATTATAAAGTATTTTTTCCCTCCTTAACGCGTGCCTTCGTGCTATAAATGAATAGCACGTCATCGGGTGGTCCGGCATTCGAATCTCGGCGAGTACACTGCGGATGTTTTTGACTTTCTTGCTTGCAAAAACCCTAATCATTCTACAACATGTATTCCTTTTTATTTATTTACTTTTTTATTATTTTTATGTAACATTCTATTTTTCCTATTTCTTATAACTTCTTTTATAAGAGAAAACCTCTTTTATACTTTAAGAAAAGTTCAGAAATTTCCTTCAACTTGCAAATGTTAACCTCTGTAACGTTTAAGATAATTCTACTATTAAATAAATGCAATATATTTATGCATGCGATTATTTTATCATTTTTCTATGCCTCCATTATCATACTAGAAATCAACGATTTTTTATCTACCCACCATGCATTAATTATACAGTCTTTCTCTCGAAATAATATTTTTAAAATTCGACATCCTCGGTACGAAATATTTCCTGCCCCTCCTTCTGGGCTCACATGAGGTAATTTCGGCATTCTCCTTTCCTGAATTGCTGTCCCTCATTAAGCTAATTTTAATCATTGTTAAGGTTAATAAAATATCACCTTAATTGCCGCTTCAAAACTAAAATCCGCAATAGCTCGTTAAAGTGAAATGATATTCCACCGCATGACACGGTTTGCAGCTAGAAAAGAATGCTCTACACTTTTGAACTGCCATTAAACGTGCTGTGCTCTCATTACTTAATGTCTTTCTTAATGCCGATAGTTACGTGTTTTGCAGCAGATATGGATGTCCCAGGAGCGAGTAACGAGTTTCACAGCCAAGCGTACTGATAAGCGCGGAAACTGCCTATAGTAGAAAGTGCTAAACTAAACCCAATTATGAAGAATGGTTTTTAAACGGAGCAAATTACTTAAACACAGAGATAGAGTAAATACTTAAATTAAAATTCGCATCAGATTTTATTAAGTCTCTATATTTATTGAATTACGACCACTCTTTTATACGGGTTTTTTATTGTAATGTGTTTGCTTCATTAAAAATGTTCTCTTTTGCTTTTATGAAAATACTAAGCAATTCTAGCATAAGAAATTTTAATAAATTCTGGGACTACTTTATATAAAGAGATTTAAGTTAAATAGAGTAATGATATTCTTCTAAATTTCATAAAATGTTTGTTTCATTTATTGTGGCAAAGCACACTAGGGCTCTCTGGCAATCCCTTCGTGGAGGACTTTCTAAGGGAAATTGTTATACACATATAAACGTTACACAGGGGGGAAAACCGCGAAAACACCCATGCAGCCAGCCCGTTTGCCTGGATTAGAACCCTGTTCAGAATTATCAGTGTGCAGCGATTTTATTGCTCGGCGGCTGGTGGGCCATAAACTTCAGAAAAAGTTAGCAAATATATACAAAAATAAAAAAGAATAAACATAAAAACATGTTTCTTAGAAGCACAGCCTTGCGTTCAAGTGCAAAAGGAAAAAAAACGAAACACATGACTTTAGGTTTTCAAAATAGGCTTCTTTACTCGTTAATACTTAATGCATGTTTCATTCGAGAGTCTTTAATGGAAGACGCAACATCAAAACTTTGATTAAATACGGTTTAATACGGATTATTTAGTTACATCAGGTATATTATTCGACTCAAAAGATAGATTAACAATAATATAAAATCATGTACTGGTAATAAAAATTTTAGTTACTTTTAAATGAGATTTCATAAGAAAATTCTCATTAGACTTTTTGAAGGAGAGTCGACATTGTTTATCTTTTCCAACATTATAGTACAAAATAATGGGTAACAAATTTCAATTTAATGAGACAAATTCTGACGATATATTACAAGATTTAAATGCTTATTTTCAAGAATGCTGCATACAGGAAATAATATGATTCTTCAAATGCCCACATATGATAAAAGAAGTTTATTATGTGCATATATATTATGCGACTGTTGCCATGAAGGTTAACTAGTTTAAAACATTTTTTTTTCTGAAGTACGTAAAATGTATTGTAGCGATTCACAAGAAAAGACGTTGATGGCATTTTTTGTTTGTTTATTATGCTTCTTGACTATGTATGGATAATTTATTAGGTTATCCACGTTCTGCGGTGTTTCGATGATTATTGCAAATGAAGCAGTGTAAAACATAAGAAACTTTCATTGAATCGCAAAAGCACGATTTTGATCTATGAGTTTTTGCCATCTCACCGGCATATAAAAAAATAACTTTTTTAAAAGAAGTGAATAATCATATAGCTTTATTCATAAAGAAGTTACAAAGGTTTGTTCGACAATCTCCCAAAAAATTAACTTCAGGCCATATAGAAAATTTGAAGTGATGTGTAGAGATGATACACCGAAGGGGCTATGTCTGGTGAATATGGGAGGTAACACTAAGAATCTCAGCCATAAGCCTCTAGAAACCGAGATAAGTCTTTAGAAACCGAGCATTATCATGATGGAAGACACCATCTCGAAGATAGTTCAGTTCTGGCAGCTTTGCTTCGATTGCTGGATTTAAAACTGCCATTTTGGAAGTACAATACGGAATTCTAAAATGAAAATTGATGGTTTTAGACTTTAATGTATGATATAGTTAACACATATTATGTATTTGTTAATTAAAAAATGATGGATTTTAAGGGTTTTACTTTGGATTTACACAAGTCCTTTATTAACACTAAATATCGTATTGTATCTTACAAAATTTAGTTTCTACGCATCAAATGAAACAGCCTTTTAAAGTTGCAACTTTCCAGAAATTTATGACCATAATTGACACATGGTGCTTAACATATTTTGGAAATCGATATGATTTGTAGCAGTATAAAATACCGCACTTTTGAAATGTTTAAAATGTTTTCAATTTGAAATTGCTATTTTTAAAACTTCTTTTATTTCAAATGTATGTTATAGTTATATGTTTCTAGTTTATTTTTTTATTTAATACTGAAATTATAATTTTAAATTTCTTTTTGTGGCAGTGACAACCGTACGAGGAAACTTCCTGAATATCACAAAAGTGAGCAGACTTCATATGGGAGCTTACCTGTGCATATCTTCCAATGGAGTTCCACCATCTCTAAGCAAAAGAATATTGCTCGGAGTTAGCTGTAAGGCAGATAAGTCTCAACTGTTTGTATTGTAAAATTTCAGTTAGTGCTCCTGAAACATGAAGCTTATAAACCTGAAATTGTATTTGATTTCATATATTAATAGATATAAGCATTTGGAGTAAGGAAGGAAGAAATGTATTTCAAATATCGTGATGATTCCGTACACTAATAAACATAATTTAATTTGTTAAATTATTAGTAGCAATGGCTCTACATGCAGAAAAATAAAGCTATACACTTACTACCAATAAGTATTTGGACACCTATGCAAATGACAATATCTGCGGTCCTAAGGTATGTCACCGACTCCGCCGGTATATCTCGTGTAGGAAACAGCATCGGCTTTAGTCGCATGCAAGATGCCTCGCAGTTCGGAGCTCTCTGATTTCGAGAAAGGTATAATTATCGGGTATCACAAATGTGGCCGATCCTTAAGGGACATATCTAGCGATCTGAAGTACCAAAAATCGACAGTGGCCTACGTGATTAAGAATTGGAAGGTGAGAGGTGATTGTCGGAATGCGCCCCCAGTCGGCAGACCAACGAAATTGGGAGATAGAGACCGACGAGTGCTGCCCAGAGAAATTCGGAAGAACCGCACCAGCCGATGGCCCTCATCCGCGAGCAATTTCAACAGGCATCCGAGACTATTGTTTCAATGAATACCATCCGTAAGGAAGCACATCTGATGGTTTTCATGGTCGTGCTGCTGCCCATAAGCGTTTGATCACAAAGTCCAACCGAGCTGCTCAGTTAATGTGGTGTAAAGCACATCTAAATTGGACCGTCGATCAGTGGAAACGGGTTCTTTGGAGTGACGAATCAAGGTTCACCCTTTACCGTTCTGATGGCAGGGTCTGGGTCTAGCGTCTATCTGGAGAACGTCTCCTGCCAGAATGCATTGTGCCAACAGTCAAGTTCGGCGGAGATGGAATTAGGGTCTGGTGGTGTTTCTCCTGGTATAGGCTGGGACCCTTGGTCCCCATTCATGGTAAGCTCAACTCCGATGCCTACTGCACTATTTTGGATGACAATGTGCTTCCTACGTTGTGGCGGTTTTACGGGTTGGACCCCTGTTACTTTCAGGACGACAATGCCAGTTGTCATGTTTGGACGTTAACCAAGGCTTGGTATGGTGCCAATGGAGTTCATCGAATGGACTGGCCTGCCCAGAGTCTAGACCTGAACCCTATCGAGAACCTCTAGGACGAGTTGCATCCCCGAATTCAGGGGTGCACTACCCGTGCAAAATCGGTGAATGAACTTCTATGTCTTCTCCAAGCCGAGTGGAAGAAAATACCACTAGCTGTCATACAAAGACTTGTGGAAAGTATGCCCCGGAGGGTCCACGATGTAATTACCTCTCATGGAGGCTCTACCAAATATTGATTTTGAATAAAGTTAGTTTTTCTTTTCTATCACAGGTGTCCAAATACTTATTGGTAGTCAGTGTACATGTACTCATCTTAACTTTCACTAAAATTAAAGCGGAGTAACACTGAATTTTAAAGATGAATTTGGAATTTGGTATTTAACACTAAATCGGTTAATATAGTATTGATTTTTAACACAAATTAAAGACACATGAAAAAAATCTGCTAAATGTAGTGGAATTTTAAATAATGATTGCGTGTGTTCAAAGGCTAGTATTTGACTGAAAAAAATATTCTGCCTTCAATTTTGTTGCATCTTAAATAATAACTAATCTGTCACTTGGAAAGTGATGGCTTGAAAAATTCAAACATAATTGTCTACAAAATTCAAGGATAATGAGCTCAAAAGTGCAAGGGCAATGGGCTAGAATTTCGCAAGAATTTAATATACGTGAATAATTTCATAGTTGAATTAAAATAGTTGAATTTAATTCTTATAAATAACTTATATCTTCTTATATAACGTCTTCTTTATTTTTAAATCTTATATCTTTAATTTGTAATGCTATATAAGATAAATAGGCCCAGTGGCGCAGTGGCTATCGCATCGGGTAGCAGCACCACAGGTCCGTGGTTCGATTCCCGGGCTGGGCAAGGTCGACTCAGACTTTCATCCCTTGATTTCCATCACTTGGGTCGATAAAATGAGTACCAAGTTTTCTTGGGGACTAAACACTGGGGATCTTGCGACAAGCTGACCACTTGTTCAGGGCATATGCCCACGGTCAAGAAAGCAGATTTCGGGCACTGCAGGACTTGGCCCATTAGGGCTGTTACGCCACTGAGTTCAGTTTAGTTTATATAAGATAAAAGTATCATTTTTCAAAAGTTTACAAAGGATTTAAAAAGTAATCATGCTGATGAAATCTAGCTAATTCGTATAGTAAATAACTGTATACGATATTTTATTCTCAATTCTGAAATGTATGTCTCTTCATTTTGCTGATTGTGATAACTGCAATACAAGGAAGATCTTCCTAAAGGAACTACTGCGTAAGGGCTAGGTCATTGATTGTCCTCTGATTAGGGTATATTTGTAAAGAGGTAGTATTAAACAAAAAGTACTCTCCATTTTTTTATTAATATTTCCTTCTTAGTAGTTATAGCTTGCAATTTAGAGCCATACATCTGATAAGAATATTACTAATTTTTCACAAAATGAAGTATCTGCTTACTAATACTTATACTACATATGAAAACAACCGTGCAGGCCAGTTGTATGGAGAAACGCATCGGGGAAAAAAGGAAACGGAAATAATGCCAACTGTGGAAAATGAAAACGGAAAATAAGACATCTTTATGAATGTTTCTAAATTGGGATAGAAAATTTCCGTATGACAACTATAACTTCGGACTATTACATCGTTCGTGGCATTGACTGCAAAGAGATATCGAGCTACTGCTCTAACAATGCCAGTTGTGAAAAAGGGAAATAATATTCATATAAGTATGTCTCTAAACTGGGATAGAAAACTCTCCGTGTGACAACCATAACTTTGGATTGTTACATCCTTCGTGGCGTTAAATCAAAGAAGCTATTGAGCTACTACCCTGCCTGATAGTAGAAGCAGAGAGATGTCAAATGGATATTGCCGGGCAATCAGTATAGGCTCCCTTACATCTCATGTAGTAACCCTTAAGCTATGGTCATTGATTGTCCTCTGATTAGGGTTTATTGGTAAGGAGGTAGTATTAAACAAAAAGTACTCTCCAATTTTTTATAAATATTTCCTTTTTAGTAGTTATAGTTTGCAATTTAGAGCCATACATGTGATAAGAATATTACTAATTTTTCACGCAATGAAGTATCGCATAGTGTTTTTCGTTTGATTTGAATTAAAAGCAACATTTTTCGTACAGAAAACCATTGCTTAATTTATTACTACTGAGCTCTGAATACAATAACAAAAGAATTACAACTGATAAAAATTAAGAATTTTATTTCAGAATTATTCTAAAATTAAAATTATTATTCTATAGATCCTATAACCATGTCATTTAGACTTTCAGCGCTTGATATATAATGAACCTTCTTATAACAAGCATTTTCTTAAATTGACCACTTCTGAAAGTAACCAACATTTCTGAGCATAAGCAAACATTTGTATTGAGCATCATCTCTCTAAGACGGTGTTGGTGTATTTAATTATGGCAAAGCACACTAGGGCTATCTGCCTAAGGGGATGGATGCCTTCGTGGAGGACTTTCTAAGGGAAACTGGCTCGTATACACGTTACACATGGGGAAAACCACGAAAACACCCATGCAGCCAACCCGTTCGCGGGATTCGAACCTCGGACCGAATTACCAGTGTTCAGCGACTTTACCGCTCGGCCGCTTGTGGGCCCTCTCTCTAAAACGAATACCTTCACAGAAGGTCAAGCGCAACTACAATCGCGGTTGTTTGTCTTAGACACAACTCAGTGTAATTTACAAGTAATACGCTTGCAGGTTTTCTTCCTTGTATGAAGCAAAGAAATTATTGTTATTGCGAAAAGTTTCGGTTATCATATTTTAACGGAAACATTCATTTTGACTGTTCCCCAATCGATCTGGAAGATTTCTTCCCGTGATTTCTGTAGCTACGCATAGAATAAGGGACATTTTTTTTTTTTTTTCTTTTCTAAAGCAGATTGTAAAATGGATTTGAAATGGATTCAAAAGGGATATTTTTGTTATGTTTGTAAGTACGTATGTATGTATCTATCAAACTTTAGAAGTATTGATATCAAAATAGCTTTTTATTTGGAGTATTTGATAGATGTCATTAATAAGATATTTTAAAACTCCCCATCATGTTGAGTGATTTCTGCAGGTAGTCGTAAAAGGTCGTTGCCAAATTTAGCATGCTGGTCTTTCTACCATGTCAAACAAGATTTACACATAAACTTGTGTCCGAAAATGCGAATGGCGGCCGCTAGGTAGCATTAATTTCAAGCACAGAGTGGGTTAAAAAGAAAGGATGTGAGAAGAGGTGTTAATATTACTTTTATTAAAGAAAATGGCTGAATCACAAAAGATGTTCAAAATTCCTTCCATTCGCCACAATGCATCCTTCACATCGTCCACGCATAGACTCACGAACCCGTTCAAAATGAGCAGGTGTGCCACAGATAGGTACCGCGGTACTTACGATCCTGGTGACCAGATCCATGTCCGATGTTCCCGTTGTTTCGTACACCATGGACTTCATGCATCCCCACAAGTAGAAATTTAGATGAATCAGGTCGGGAGATTGCAGTGGCCATCTGCGAATCCAGCGATCAGGATATGTCCTATCGAGGTATTTCCGCAGAATGCTGTTAAAATGTACAGACGTTCTTTCATGCTAAAAACACATTCCAGTCTCCTATAAGTCTGTGAACATTGCCCTCTAGCTGTAGCAATTCACATTTCCGGACACAATTACCTATGTAAATCTTGTTTGTCATGGTGTGACAGACCAGCATGTTTATTTTGGCAACGACTCTTTGAGACACCGTGTATGTATGTATACTGAGAAGACTTCAAATTAAAAAAATCTAAAGACATTCTAGCTGATCATCTGAATCGTCATTCATAAAA